TCAAGGTCAAACTGCTAATATCATAAAATAGATCTTTTTAAACCCTACAACTTTTGTATTTAACATTTTTTTATACAACGCTTTGTTTTCGAGATATTCAGGTGTTCCGGTATATAATATTCACCCTGTATATGAATATGCGTGCGCGAGTTCAAGGGAATCCCACTAGGAGGTGCGTGAGGATACTCTCTCTTAAAGTCACTAGATATATAAAGTACCGCAATCGTCCGCTATTTTAATGTCACGACGCGGCTATTTCAAACCAATATTTTTGTAGGAGTGTATATAAGATATAAAGAAAAACAATAAATACTAACTGTTGAACATGAATAAATTTGTTTTATTTACTGTAATATTTAACATTAACAATAGACTTTTTCATTGCGACGCTACGAATAGTATTAGCGACTGCTTTTATAATATTATCACAGTCTTTTTTCAAGGAAAATGAATTCGTGCAATTACAAACGTCTTAAGCAGTTTGTATATTATATTATTGTGTATAATATTGTGGCGCGATGGAATAAAAGTTGTCGGAAACGTTTGTAAACATTTGCGAATAAATTCATTAGGTTTTAACTTATTGGACAGTAAATTTGTTTCATTTTGTCGAAATAATATTTTGCACTTATATATTATATATATCCATAGTGGGAAAGTATAATATATTTTCTTTATATTCTCGTAATTTTGTAAAAAGACTTATAATATTATGAGTATGATCAGTACGCGTACCCTACTGAAAAATTTCTGTTGAGATAACAATAGAATTCCCAATTCAATTCTCAGTTGAATTCTCAATTAAATTTTCAAATGCGGTTTCCGCAAAAATTTACATAAGATCTTAATTGAGATATTTGTATATGATGGAAATAATATATTGAAAATATAATGAACTTTTGCTGAAATGCTTTTGAAAAGCATTCACAATTTCATTAAGATTTCATTATAATTTTATTAATATTTCAATAATATTTTATTAAAAATGTAGAAAAATTCAGTGAAAAATCATTATTAATTAAAATAGATTGAGAAAAGTATAATGAAGTATTATTTTGTCTAAATAATTAAAAAAAAACTGTCATTTTATATTTTGTGTGGTATCATTTATTCGTGAGATTCGATCTCGTGTCATACGGTCACACATCTTTAGATGACTATGCGCTGTTCAATGCCTAACCTCAACGATTGTACGGGAACTGGTGATGGCAATGCGCTGTAATGATATCGTGGTGGATTGTATTTACAATATACTTTTATATCGTTTAAAAGTGTAATGATATATTTGTCGGTAATGTTTCAAAGGACGTAACAGCAATCACAATGCGATTAATATTGATACAATGTTTGTATAATCAAACTTTAACATACAACGTGCTCATAAAAGAGTTAAAATATTCCTTCTTTCTCTCTCTTTTGCAAGCACGTTATATGTTTAAATTTAATTAGTTATACAACATTGTATCAATATTAATCGCATTGTGATTGTTGTTATGTCCTTTGAAACATTTGGCGACAAATGTATCATTACATTTTTGAACTATGTAAAACTCTATTGTAAATACTATCCATCACAATATGCGTTACAGCGCATTGGCATTACTAGTTCCATTAGATCGTTGTGGTTTAGGCGTTGAACAGCGCATAGTCATCTAAAGATGGGTGCCGAATGACATAGGATCGAATCCCGCGCGAACCTTACAATAAATGAAACGATACAAAATATGAAATGAGGGTTTTTTTTTTATTATTTAGACAAAATAATACTTAATTATACTTTTCTCAATCTATTTTAATTAATAATGATTTTCCTATACTTTTAATGAAATATTAACGAAATATTATAGTGAAATTATAATCAAATTTTAATGAAAATTGGGTCAAAATTGTGAATGCTTTTCAAAAGCATTTCAGCAAAAGTTCATTATATTTTCAATAAATTATTTCCATCAGATACAAATATCTCAATTGAGATCTTACATGCGAATTTTTGCGGAAACTGCATTTGAGAATTCAATTGAGAATTCAACTGAGAATTGAATTTGGAATTCTATTGTTATTTCAACAAAAATTTTTCAGTAGGGTAGTCACGAGGGTATCAAAACATTTAGCATAATTTTTATAATTTTTTTAAATTTTCGATAACAATGCATCCGTCAAATGGTACAATGCTATTTGTGTTACATCATTTACCATAAATTCTTTTTCAAGTAACGGAGTGTACAGTTCTTCATTCTCTACATCATCTTCAACACTCTTGATGTATTTTATGTCTTCAAAGTTATTTTTACATTCCAACTATCAATGGAGTTTCCTCCCATCTGCCCGTTTGTTTTCAAACTGATCCTCGCTAAAATGTACCTGCACAATTTACGTGATAATTATTACAGCAATATATCATTTCACACGCGATTATACTTTATTAACTATATCTCACAAATGTCAGCTCTTGCCTGTACTGTATCTTTTCCAATTAATTTTAGCCATTCCAATCGTCGTTCATTATTTTTATTGCTTTTTGGCAAACGAAATAGTCGAAAACTTTTTCGGCACGATTTTTACATCCCTCGACGCAGGAACCTGGCATTTTTCTATATTTTCTACACAACACAGCTATCGCTTTTACGTTTTAACAGAATGCGGTTAGGACAATTGCATTTTATAAGTTTCTAGGCTATGATAGTGTGCACTATGTACACTTTCCGACGCCATATTGACGCCAACTCGTTAAAGCATTGGTGTTATGGATTGCGGTACTTTATATTATCTAGTGACTTTACTCTCTCTCTGATGAAAGTGAAGGGGGCCTCGGAGGATGCGGCGGACCAGGGAGGGGACGCCGTCTCTTTTGTTTGGGAAATACGCGGTGCTATTTTTCGAGGACGTTTATAAAGTGGATATCGGAGTGAGACAGCGGCTTCATCTCGTCTGATCAGATATCTTGTGGAAGCTTCGTAAGCTCAGCCTTTACGGCTACTCATACGAGGCCATTAGCGCTTGTGGGAGCGTCACAAACTCAGCCTTTACGGCTCTTTCTTTCGAGACCATTAGAGTCTGTGGGAGCGTCAAGAGTTCAGCCTTTATGAACATTCCTTTTCTCTTTTTGGTTGATTTCAATTAATCGTTTGCTGAAAATTGGAGCGAAGCTGCTCCAACTGGCAGCATTCTTTTGTTGTTTCAGACCCATTTTTTTTTCTTTTTTTTGATGGGTCTTCATTAACGATGACTTCGGCCCAACCCTGCCGTGTATAACAACAATAAACGGATATTTTCTCAACATAATGGCGGCTCAATGTTTACTTTATATCATGCGAACCAGAATTAATCCATACCGATAAGTTTATGCAACATGCATGAAAAATTTTTCATCGGGAGATAACGATCATCGTTTCAAGACGATAATGACGACAATGCTCTTTTCAAATACGAACCTTTGCTTGTTGTAATCGTGACGTCTGCTTTCCGAGCTTTTCTGCTGATGAGCCATATCCTTTTTCTGCTGTACGATCTTTAACGCCGTGAAAATGAACAGGAAGATGTTGCAGATAACAGTAATACCAATGGGCAGGAAAAAATACAAGCTATTTGCCTCTTCCGCTGAAAGTAGAGAATAAATAGTTAGTGTTCACGTTTTACAAGTTACAACGCGATATGTGTATTCTTCTTAATTTCTTAATTTCTTTCTTTAATTAATAGTAATAATAATAGTAACTAATCCAGATAGTCAGAGATGCTGAACATAGCATGCAAAAATTTAACATGGATTTTGTGATGTCAAAGCACCATCATGTGGTTTTAGTTTTCAGTATGTGTCATTTTGCTGAAGTGTAAATAACATTGTTGTTTTAAGCAATGAATATGTCGAATTTTGTACCAACAAAACGCAATTTGCGGGAAGCTTTGCTTTTTTGCTTCTATTTGAAGAAAAGTGCTGCTGAAAGTCAACAAACGCTGTCGGAAGCTTATGGTGATTATACTCCATCGATTTCAACATGTGAGTATTGGTTTCGACGCTATAAAAAAGGTGATTTTGACACGGAAGACTAGGAACGTCCAAACCAGCCGAAAAAGTATGAAGATGAGGAAGTGGAAGCTTTACTCGATCAAGACCCGAGTCAAACGCAAGAAGAATTTGCAGAATCATTAAATGTTGATCGATCAACGATTTTCAGACGTTTGAAAGCCATTGGAATGATTCAAAAGCAAGGAAATTGGGTGCCGTACAAGTTGAAGCCGAGGGACGACGAAAAGCGCAAAATGACCTGTGAATTGTTGCTTCAAAGACACAGAAGAAAAAGATTTTTATATCGTATCGTGACGGGTGATGAAAAATGGATACGCTACGATAATCCGAAGCGCAAAAAATCATGGTGCAGGCCAGACGAATCATGAACATCGACGATAAAGTCGAATATTTATGGTGCCAAGCTCATGCTCTGTATTTAGTGGGATCAGCTGGGTGTAGTATATTATGAGCTGCTCCAACCCAACGAAACCATCACTGGGGAACGCTACCAATAACAATTGATGCAACTGAGCCGAGCATTGAAGCAAAAACGGCCAAAGTATACGAAAAGATACGACAAAGTGATTTTCCAGCACGACAACGTTCGGCCACATGTTGCGAAATCGATCAAGGAAACGTTAGAAGCGCTTAACTGGGATGTCCTGCCACACCCGTCGTATTCTCCAGATATTGCTCCTTCCAATTACCACCTATTTCGATCGATGACTCATGGTCTCTCTGAACAGCGCTTCTATTCTTATGAGGATACCAGAAAATGGGTCGATTTGTGGATAGCCTCAAAAGATGTGTGATGATTCATTTGACGTGGAATCCACCTATTACCAGAAAGATGGGAAAAAGTAATGGCTAGCGATGGACAATATTTTGAATGGTCAATTTGTAACCATTTTTTCACAATAAAGCTGTATTTTTACCAAAAAATCCCTTAAAATTAATGCATACACTCAATATATTATTTTATAATAACGACAAAAAAATATAATCGTTACATTTTACCTAAGGCCAATCGACATTATGCGAAGTCATTTACAGGAAGCGACATATCAATATTATTAATTTCATCAGTTACATAGATTAATTCGAAAGAGAAATCCGAAAGGAGTTTATTACAGAACCCGATATAATAGTAATGTTATTGTGTGACTTGAATGTAATACAGTTAAAATAAGCACGCATAGGGTGAGGCGTAAGCATACGCTTCTACGAGACCTAAACACATATATTACAATCAAAGTGCTTGCAGATTTAACGAGAGTTGGGCGAGACGGGCGCTAACGTTAAAGGAAGACGTTCATTTATGTCGTACTTACTTGTTAACCAACATCTCAAATGGCCAAGTCTCGGTCTGAATACATTTTTCGGTATATTGGGGACGAAATCCATGATGAGACAGAGGATAGTGAGGATGAAGGTGCAACCCCACACATAAATCGAATACATGATGAACTTCTTTTTCTCCTGTTGCTTCACACTTTTTTGTAACGAGCGGAATCCGCTGAAAATTATTTATAGCTTATTAGCGTAATAATGAAAAAAACAGGCACATGCATTACAAATACACGTTAAAACAGTTATCACTTTTGGTCAAGTTTCCCGGAAACCCGACCTCTTTAAACCTTTTTTTTTATTCGTGCTAATTAAAAGACGATGAGTATATGATATAGATAATTAAATAGTAAATGAGAATGTAAGCTAAAATATCTAATTATTGACATTAGTCACTTTAATACTTAAACACTTTTAGTCACATTAACACTTTAGAATAAACCTGTTTCTTTATGATCAGTATTGCATTTAAACTTCTTGTCTATACTTTATGATTCCTAAGGGGAATTTTATAATAAGATTGATAAAAAACCACCGCTGGCCGCAATAAAAATTAAATTTTTCCAAATATACACTGAAAAAAAATTTATCAAATTTTAAAAAACGTTTGTTTGGATAGTACTGTGAAGATATTTGTTTAAATTAAATAATTATTTTCTAAAATTAAAGAATCAAATTTATATTAATATTATATTAATATTAATATTATATTTATTATATTTATTTTATTATATTTATTATATTTATTATATTTATTATATTTCTTTATTTATAATATTATATTTATTTTAAAACTTCTTTATTTAATTTTAGAAAATAATTACTTAATTTAAATAAATATCTTCACAGTATTATCCAAACAAACGTTCTTTGAAATTTAGTAAATTTTTTTCTCAGTGTAGCAATATATATATGAGGCATTCTTCGTCAAACCGGCTATCCCCTCTGCTCAAAATTTGTATGGATCGATTGAAATCAACCGGTGCTCAAATTTTAGGTGTTCATGTCTAGTGTCGTTTGTCATCTGGCCTTTTGAGAAATTCATCATGGCGGCTTTAATATATCGGAAACTGGAAAAAACGATGAAAAAATCCGTACATGACTTTCTATACGCTATACAATTACTCAAATCGGTTCCAAAATGATCAATCCAAGGTTCTTAAGGTCGCTGATTATGACCTTAAGACCTTAAATGTACCCTTTATGCATTTGCGAATCAATTGAGATCTTCTAGAGTAGTATCATTAGATTCAACAATAAGCGCTCTAAAGTTAGTAGTTCCACTTTTATGGCTTTCCCGGCAGTCTAAAGATTAAGGATCTTCTCTTTTCAGATGCAATTGAGAAATACGGTTGGTACTCGAGTATATAGAGTAAAGGAGAGGTCTTGTAACAGCGCGAAACGGGGCTTGGCGACAGTCATTCCGTCACCGTACGGTAAATAGCGGCACGACGTTGGCACATTATGGAATTTCATCGAAAACACGCGAGAGATAAAAAATTACTTTGCAGTATTCCGACACGCGCGCGTGCGTGCCGCGTAATTAGACGGGGAAGCGAGAAACGCGCGCGACTTAGCGCGGCTTATGACTCCTGCACACAGGACGCGGTAATGCTTGCCGCGGCGGAAGTTCACACGACAGCCAATCAATATGTTGTTTTTCCGTAAGAGCTAGAAGATTATTATGGAAGGAAGCATATTGATTGGCTGTCGCGTGAACTTCCTCCGCGCGGCAAGCATTACCGCGTCCTGTGTGCAGGAGCCATTAGTGTGGGCGAGTGCAAATTACACTCTTGCGATAGCACTTTCTCAAATTGGACCATCAACATTGGCGGATTGCGGCGTAACAGGCCGTGCCATGGTGCCTCTTTCATTTAAATTCGGACTAACGAATGTTTAGCAGCTATTGCTTCGACCAAATGTGCGCGCCCGCGCGCGCGCGCGTGTGTGTGTATGCGTCATTCTCGCGGAAATTTGTCGCTTTGAAGTTGCATTAAGAATACACGGGCGGAAATTTGAATGAGGTGATATCCGATCGGCACGTTTCCTATCACATGCCAATGCCTGTTAGCGATATAGCTTTTGACTTTTGCCGTTACAGTGAATGTTGCTTCTGCCAAAATTGATGCTCCGACCGGCCGGCGTGAGGAGATCGAAATTAACTCGGCCTATGTTTGCGGCACATACGCGTGCTGATCACGTGCCGGATATTAATTCGCATCATGTCGCCATCAATTTCCCCCCCGATGTTTGTCAAATTTCTCTCCCACAGAAGCGCGCCGGATTGAGTGGCGCCTGTGAAAATATTTGGTGAATCGATTAACTCATTTCAACCTCGGACCATTTCGACCCGTTGCGAATGCTTTATTTTCGTTAATGCGTAATTAATGTCATGCTCGTAATTAATTAAATATATAACAAGTATAAAATAGATAATATGATATATATATAGTGAGAGAAAAATACTCAAAAAATAGTAACCATCTCTTTGTCATTACTAATGACATATTTACTTAAATTTAAACCCTTTTATATAAATAGACTATTGCTAACAATTGCTTTCATGGAAAGTTTTTTTTAAGATTTTAAAAGAAAATGTATATTTTCTTACTTGAAAAATATTATAAATAATATAGTAAAAAGAATATAGCGTTGATAACACAAACGATAACTTAAAAAAATAAAAACCGAATATTAATATTAAAATCTGTCCCTATATTTATTATATATCTCATTCGAGTGTTGTAATTATTTAAGTACAATTTTATTTGATATTATATAGAAATATAATATTAAAGAAATATTATCTTATGTTCATATTCGTGAAATTGTACAAAATACATATCCGGTCATTAAATACAAAAAAATAGACTTTTAAAAAAAGGTGCGCTAAGTTCTCGAAGCGCACTTGATCAGTAAAATCAACTATTTCTTTAGAACTATTGTTATATATGATATAGAACTCTAGAACTATTGTAAAACAAACCGGAACTCTAAAGAAATAGTTAATTTAAATAGTTTGTTTGTTTAGGTGCGCTGCGAGAACTTAACACACCTTTTTTTGAAAGTCTGTTTTTTTGTATTTAATGACCGGAACTATTTAAAATTGTTGCATAGAGCTCTAGAACTTTTCAAGAGAGTATCAGAACTGCAAAAAAAATG